GAGAGTAAAGTGTCTTGCCCAAGAACACAACACAATGTCCCTGGCCAGGGCTTGAACCCAGACTGCTCACCCCGGAGTTGAGTGCACTAACCAAGAGGCCATTGCACCTCCCATATATAATACATGTACTTGTTATTTATTTGTTTGCTATCATTGCAACGCCAATGTTTATAGGAAAGAATAATGCAGTTGTTTGTTTTAGAAGACTTTTAATAGATAGGCTGTTTGGGAAATGTAATGGCAATTTGATCAAATTTATTAGTTTCAAATTATTATGTCCTTCCCTTCATCTGTGCTTCAAGTTGTTGCTGTTGTTGTTGTTTGCTTCCAAGGAGCAGCAACCAGTTCCCTTTTGTCAGTTTGTTGTCATGAGATTACCTCGGAAGATCATTGTATTTTGTTAATTTTCCATGTTTGGACCTCTTGCAGTATACCTTCCCATGGGGAAAGGAATCAGTTGACTCCATGACTGTCAGCTCTGACCTTCACAAGTACATGACAGATGAAGACTGCAGTGGACTCCCTTTCAACAAGGAATCAATGCCATATGTAATTCAGATCAAAACTGATATAAATACAGGTAATATAAACCTTCATGTAGCTATATAAAAATCTGTGTAACATATGTCTTTTTTTGCTACCGGTATTTGTTATTTGTAATGGTGTCTTACAGACCTGAAGTAAAATTTTCCTTTGGAAAAAAGGAACATTGTGTAGAAGTAGACCAGATTGTTGTAAAACAACTAAGTTGTGTTCTTTAATTCATCCTTGAGGCTGATGCCTACATGTTTTTTTCTAGAGTTTTTGCCATCTTGTGTTCCTTATCAATCAAGTACAACTGATTGTTATTTTAGTAAATTATTGACAGAATCTGAATCAGAGGACAAACCTCATTCAAACCTTTATGACATTGTGATATACATGTATATTATAGGATAAAGAGGATAGGATAAATGTTCTTATGTCGTGAGAAGGTTCTTCAAATAAACATGTATCCTATATATATATATATTTTTAGGATTTCTGGCTTTTTTGATGGATGCATATCAAGACAAGGAGCGATCCGATTCTAGTGATAATGTAAACCTCTGCACAGTTCTGCACTTGCATCCTCAATTGGCTCCTGTCAAAGTTGCAGTTCTTTCTCAACTCCCTCAACAAAATGAGCTTTGTGAGGTTGCACAGCAGCTGTCATCTGAGCTACGTGAAGCAGGTGGGTGTAGACGTAGTAGTCATGTATGTCTGTCTAACACTAAGCAGGTGTGTGCTTTTGGGAAGGTGCGAGTAGGCAAAGAAATGGGTTATGGTTGTTTTGTCTTGGGACACAATGCAACAATACATTGACTACATTGAGAAAGAACATGATTGAATTAATTAATTAATTAATT